TATAGCCAATGTGTTAAAAAAAGGTTTCTGGATTTTTTTGCACTTATCTACCTGTAAAAAGGACATAAAAGAGATATAATAAATTATTACTATGAAGGTTTATAATATATATATATATATATATCCACCCGTTCTAATTAATTTACCATACACGTTTAAACTTTAAAACCGGGCACCCGTTTTTAGCCTTATGGGTTTTTTTATTAAAAAAAAAAAATAAGGTGTTAATTAAAAAAAAATCTCCCGTTTCGCTCCATAGAAACTGAATTGATTGTATATAAATATATTAGTTGCGTTTTATTGAATATTTTCTCATTTTATATCATTTTGGATAAATAAAAATACACAGAAAATAAAACTCAGTAAATTATTATAATCAAATAAGTGGTCGTGTAATTTTTAAAACGCATCAAATAAAAATGTTCTTATGTGCATACTACTCTGGATTGATTGAATCAACTGTTTGAGGTATTTTTATAAAGAACTATTTTATATAAAAAAAAAAAAACATTATTGACTTACAATATTACAATAATGCACGGTAGAAGCTAAAAAGAAAAACATTCTTATCAAAAACAAGCTAATAATGATAGTAACAACAGAGTAGTGATAACAACATTATGATAACAACTACTTGGGTTCAAATATTGTTATTTTTTGTCTAGTATCAAATTTTTGATAAAAATTAAAATAAATAATTGTAAAAAATGGTCTGAATAAGAGTATAAATATTATATCGGAATATGTATCTGGACACTTTTTTTTTTTTAATAAAAAGTATATAGTTTTTTTTTTTTTTTTTAATCCAATACCAAGTATGAAAAACATTATTTTTAACCGATATTTTTCTTTTGATTTTGTTCGAACATAGTTGGTTGAGAATTATTATAAAATGGTTTATTGGACCGGGGCTATGAAAAGATCACTTCAAAATAATCATTTAATTGTAATACTGTTTGTGTAGACTGTAGACCAACGAGAGAGCTCAAGTATTACTCTCAATTTTGTTGGTAATGATTTTATCAGTAAGTTATTTACGGCGAAAAATTAGGGACTTATGTGACTCGCATTATTTTTCGGGGCAAAACTACTTTATTTTCTATCTCTCAATCGTTGAGATAAAATAAATGAACAATAAATCTCCATTGGACGTTGTTGCGTTTATCCGATATCGGGGTTTACCTTAAAGGACTTTTTGTTTATCCGAACAATATAATAGGAGAAACAAACGGATATCTTCCAATAATAATATTATATTTGAATTAGAGCTTGCGACGGTTTAAAGTATTAATTTTTATTTATAAATTGACCATAAATAATAATCTACTCTGTAGCTAGAAAGTGTTGTAATTTGTAACTATAATATTAGTTGTTAAAATTATTTAGTAATAATTGCTTTGATAATTTATTAGTGTGACAACTGTTGCACAATATGTATTTATTGGTCACAGCAAATGTCTGAAATACATCTGATAAGACAAAACAACTTGAAAGTACATTTTGTAATATTATTATGGTGTTAAGTACCGACTGAACTAGAAGGGTTTACGCGAGATAAGATGTTTGAAAGTGGGGCTACTACTTATTGGGATCAACAGCTATATTCCACAGTTGTTCAACTGCAAAATATTCACCTTGGTTATTAAACAATTTAATCCTCTTATAAAGTTTATCATATTCGAATTCTGTATTTTAATAATGTTATTTGTCAACACTATTTCAAATTGTATTTTCAAGTAAGCACTTGTTTAGTTATGTTAGAAGTATTATTCATCTAAACCATAACTCTTTTTACCTGTCCAAGATTCAGTTACGACCTTTGACCATTACAATACATTTATATTTCTTATTTTATACATTTATTTTCACTACTTTGTGACTTTTTTCACATAATTTAGGATTTTCCTGTCGTAGCGTCTTAGGACACAGCTTTTTAATTTTCTTTCTCTTACTTCTTTGTTTAAGCTATATTAACTATGGTTTATAACTATTTAATATTGATCTTCATTGTATTGTCTACACCATAAATAGTCATTATACAGAACACACAAAGTATTTTAGGCAAACCGTTTGTTTTTGTTAACTAGCACAGACCCAGAAAACATAATAATATGAGCATGCAAACTATTTAATAGGAAGCTGGTATTTTCAATATTGACTACACGGTCGGTTGAAAAGCAATTACAAAACATTATTAATAGGTTTATCATGAAACACACTAGTCCGTAAATAAGCCCATGTGTACATCCAATCACCTTCTAAATCCTGTTTCCACCTTTATTTTATAAAACGCGTAATCCCATTACAATGTATATTATTTTGTAATTCCATTTTGTCGTTGAAACAAATGTGCAGATTAAATCATTTAAAAAACATATTATATTATGTGTTATTCATGGCGGGAAAAACATTTTTGTTTTAGTATTAGTTACATCAACTATATAAGAGTAAACGAGTGTCAACAAATACTTAGAATATTTGAGCTTTTGTAAATTAACAGCCAGTATTGGAATGTTATCAATTTATTGAATAATCCATGGTTTGGAATTTGGAAAATAAGTTCAATGGCGAAAACATGAATTCGATTTTCTCACCTTGTTGTAGTGTACATTAAAGCTTGAATTGAGTTTGAATCGTACTTGGAATAGTTGTCACCAGAACCAAAAACTGCAAGTAAACACTGTTGTGGGATAGGCAAACGGGACAAATTAAAGTGAACCACGTAAAGTAATTTCAACAGGAATTTTCAGTGGCTGAGGAATTACAGTAATCCTTATAATTTAAACGACGGTGGGCGCACTGATTAAAAAAAAAACCCCAAAAGGAACGAAAAAATAATTTTCTTTAAAATTACATTAACAAAATCCTATGGAACATTTTCAGCCAGTTTCACCAACTATTGTTGTTCAATACACGCTTAACACAATGTTAGTTAACAATCAATTTAAATTTAACATCTGATCAAATGAAATAAGTTTCACCATAACATTATTATTGTTAAATTCGATTTATTAAGTTAACAAAACGTTAGTTGGGTTACCAAAGCGGTTACCCTCGATTCCAACGTTCTCATTGGTTACTAATATAATATGTGATAACTGATAAGTGATTGTATTATTTAATTTGTCAGTTTTTTAATATTTGGCATTTTATTTTACTTTCTTTTAACGTTTCGGTTTGTATAAATAATAATTTATACATAATATTATAACACATTGTTTAGATAGTCTATACCTTTCTAAAAATAGTTTGTCATCAAAGTCGTTGAAATAATTTTTTTCTATTTTTAAAGCCTAAAAAAAGTAGGTAGTGATAACAATTATTTCCATTGTTATACTCAGGATAGGTAAGACATAATAATATTATCTAAATTACAAAATACAATAAATTATGATATTTAGACCTATAAGGCAAGTCTATGCCATTCCTTTTTACCTAATCTACCTACATAAAATAACTTCTGCTTACCTTATAAAAGATTATCGAAGTTGTCTTTTCTATTGTTCTTAAAATACTCAACATAAAGAAGGTGCTCATCAAATGTGTAATTTATTATTATATATTACTAGTATACTCGGTCAACAAAAATTATAAAACAATTTCTGAACTAAAATAATATAAAACTATTATATATAAGTGCTACAATACATTTTAACATGCCGATTAACTTTTTAACAAGCCGATTTCGGGTGATTAATTTAACAATGTGTTAAGGCTAACAAATCTCGATGAAACCTAATTTTCACTAACCAGTTGTTAAATATGATTAACAATAAGTTAAATTCTTAACAAATGTTGGTAAAATCGGCTGAATATAAGTTAATCTCTTATCCGTGTACTGGGGCTAAGTTTCGAAAATTGAATTTATAAAAAACAACAAGGATGTAGTGTGGAGACAATCGTTGACTTCTGACTTGAGCGATACAAGTCAGATTCTTTGGAATCTTAGTCGCACTACCAATCATTCTTAAGTAGCGAGGTATATAAACTGTCATGTAAACTTGGCACGTGTCACATTGAAGATACTTATGTGCGGTATTATGTTTGCCTTTTTTCTCTCAGCTATAAGTCATAATGATCTACTCTATAGGATTGTACAGCGTATATAACGGGTGAAGGATTTAGCCGACGTGACGGTTTGGTTGTTCTAATGTTTGCGACAGGAATATAAAAGCCAATTTCGAGTAGATTTCAATGTAGAAAATCCGAGAGAAGCACTTCTACCCAATAGACGGCAAAGGAAACAATACATTTTCCGCGTTGTACCGTTTAAATGTTCAATTCAATTTTTGTAAACGCAAATCAATTTTATGTTATTTAAGAAAAAGAAGTTTACACAAAATACACATTCGATAAAAAATTACTCGAACTTGGGTAAATGTATTTTAAACTTACCTGTGAAATTTCTATACCGAGCAAATGTACCGTGTCTTACTTTGGTTGGTGGTTTTCGATGGTGGCTTCTGACTTGATATTGTCGATATTAATTATTTTTAGCCGGCGATAAGAGATAATAAAACAAAACTATGGTATGCAGCCACAGATATATATATATATAATAAACTAGATTACTAACTAGCGATAAGAATTGAAGATGGCGGAAAGTGGCTGCTTCAATCTTCTCTATTGGTGGTATATACAGTAAGCAATCTAGTTTATTATATATACACAGATATGCAGCAGATCATGAACATGTTATCAGATTTTTATCATGGAATAAATGATTATGTTACACCACTTTTTCCATGACAGGAATCAAGATGGCGAAATCCGTGTGGGATCAATATATTTTGTTTTCACTGTGCGCCTTCCATGTATATAATATTATAGTTCAGTGACTAAATATATTAAGAAACTTTAAGGAAAAAAAAATTAGAGATTGTTAGTCTACGGACATATTTTGTACTTTATGTTATACAAATCTTTTATACGTTTTTTTGTCGATTTAAAAATAATTATGCTATTAAAAAAAATATTGGCTTAAATATAAGTGTGTGTATATGCAAACGGATTATGCGTTAAACTAATTCACGTAACCGCCGCGATACGGTCGACGTCGTTTATGGTACTTAAGTATGTAATTTATTGTTTTTTTTTTTCAATTTCATTTCTTTATAAGTTGTAATTTAATCCGATCGATTCAGTACAAACATCTTCATCATGATGAGCGAGAACGAAGAAAGCGGTAGTGAAGAGGAAATCGAAGAACCCGAAGTAACGAGTGAGCACACACACACATCTTATATTAAGACCTTGGTTATTTTTGAAATTTTCATATTAAGTGCTTTTATTGTATATATATATATATATTTTTTAGTTTCAAACGATCTCCAAAAGGCTATTGCCGATGCCTTTTGGTTGTTTACAAGTGAAAATAATCGGCAAAACATATCCATCAACGATCTTGGAAAGGTCATCCGTCACTTGGGTAAGGTCTAAAAAAAAGTACCCTTATCCTAGAGCACACACACTAACATGTTCACTTATTCATCAACACATTATTATAAAATTGCGATACGACGATAATACCGGTCGTTAAAATGATTATTATTATTTTTTTTTTATTAACTTGCTTTTGAGAGGCTAAATCTGAGTCTGTATCTGCACCGAATCTCTTCGCCAAAGTTTAAGTACATCAATTATACAAAAACCGTTTGTGTACAAACATCAAGACGAAATAAAATATTTGTAAAAAAAAACTTTTACAGACGTTAAGTCGACATTAAACTCTATTATAATCATAAATCGTGGAACATTGTCCATTATCATAATGAGACTTACTAAAATGTTGGACACTTTAATATGTATAAGACTTGATGTTTTGAGTTAACATTTAAATAGCCGACACGTGTAAAGGCTGTTTTCATGTTTCGTTATTTATTCTACTAAATGCTTGTACATTTTGCACACAAAAAAAAAAAAATATAATATGGTAATATTATTTACAATCAAATATTGATATTCAGTAGTATACTTTTCGGCTTTGTTATTTTTCTAATTTCGATTGAAATCAAAAATAATACATTAACAGCTTTGAAATTTAATATTAGAAAAAATGTGATTATTATTAATTATTTGTGTTCACTTTCTAAGTATAATATTATCTTCTCGTCGTTGACTCTCACAAGATTTAAAGCACCCTAACGTCTAAGTACAATGTAAATTGTGAAAAACAAATCATAAATATGAAAATCCAATTTTTTTGGCGGGAAAATTGTTTAATGATGTTTTTTGGTTTAGCTTTTATTAACCGTAGGCGCTAATTAAGTTAAGAGAACACCATAAACAAAATATCTAAACATATCTGCCCTATATTTTTTTTTGAAAAAGTTATACCATATCGATAGTGAATATTTATGAATCTGTTAAAATTATGGGTATTTTATCTCGATTTCGATGAAGAAGCATTGGCAGACTTAAAATTTCTTTCGGTTACAATATTTATCAGGTATTGATCACAAGTCGTTGCACCTTAAATTAAAAACTTTCAGCCCGATACTAGATAATATTATTATTATCCAAAAAAACGGGAGTAATTAATTTTTGTACAACTATTAAGTATTAATAACTTTAATGGGGCCTTAAAACGTTTTATTTGTTTTTGTTTTTTATGACTAAACGGTGTACCTACCCGTTATCTTTATAATCATGACTGGCGGTCCATTATATAACTTGATTAACGGTCGTATACAATAAAAAGAGGTGTACTCATAATAATTTAGCTTGTACAATATAATATTTAAACGGCACCACCGGAGCGTCACTGATTGCATACTTGTGTATTCCTTTTTTTTGTGTTGTTATAAATCATTATTATGTAGTCTACTTGGATCCACCTTATGACGTATTCACACTATAGCCGCTGCGAGTCTAATATAATATAATTTAATATTAAATTTATAATGCACACAACAGGTGACAAAAAACAAATTAGCATTATAAAAGGAAAAGTCACCCTAAAAATGTATTCCACTCAACTCGATTTTTTTTTTTAGTCCCAAAATTAAATGGGTTTTTCATGCTCCCCTACAATATTGATAAAAGTCACCCTTCACCAGTGTCAACATATATTTTATAGAAAAAAAAATGTTTCATTTTGCACAAGCTTTACTTGCATTGACTGATGTGCTTAAGAATTTATGGCATTTATCAATTATATCAATTATTTATCATTTAACAATTATAAATGAACAGAGTTGTATTACATAATAATAATTATTATTAACTCACTTGTATTACCTTCATACAAGATACACTGAAGAAAATACTTCATACAGTCCACATTTTGTATGTAAATAATGTTTAAAATCATATTCATTTCCAATCGATGAAAGTATCAAAGTTTTCAAGACTTATGACTTTTTTAATATTTACAAAATAACTGGGAAACTGCACGTCAACCGACAGACTTGTTTGGACAAACAAATGGAAATGAAAACAAGTTTTCCTTTGAATAAGTCAAGTTTGTGCATTATTAATTATTACCGTAATAGGTTATGTTTCCTTTAAAGTAAAATAAATATTCGCCTTGGGAATTATCTTAACTTGTATAAGGATAAAATATATGAAATTTGAGACACATAGTACACAGTTAATTTGTTTAAAACAAAAAACAATATAAAGTTTAGGTGGTTTCTAAGTATCTAATGATAAGTAGGTAAACAGCTGTGTAAAATATTTTGTACAGAACACAAACGTTCCATTGGACTGATGAGAAACTTGTTCAATAGCCAGCTGCTTAGCAGAAGTTTTTTTAATGCGTGTGTGTTGTTGGGAAAAAAATCTGTAAGAGATAATATTTTTTAACTGAATACGTTTTCCAAATGCTTACTTCTATTGTCAACGTTTTCAACGACTTCCATTCATAGTAATTTCTTATATTTACTTAGTTGCCTATTCTAGTTTTTCGATATTTATTTTTATCTTTGACGTTTTAATATATTTTTTCTTATTCTCTCTTTTCTTTGGGACGAACAATCCATTAAACAATTTTACATCTATAGTGCTAAAACTCTTTAAACAGGGTTTTACAATAATAGCCAAAAACACATTGACTAGAATTGTTCTCGTTGAATCCGATTGTGGTTAATATAATAATCAAAGATGTACTTAGTGGTTTTGGACAAGTAAAGTTTAACGTACAAGTGTTAACAAAAAATACATTGTCACTTTGTGAAACGGCTGTACACAGATTTAGTACAGCAAAATACTACTTTAAAATTATGTATGATATATATATATATGTTATTTTTCTTCGAATAGGATGTGTACCTAGTGAAATGGAGTTAAAAGAATTCGCCAAAGAAGTTACACACCCTAAGTATCCGAAGATTGTCAAGCTCAACGCATTCTTGCGACACATGGAAGCACAAGTCCGGGCGTTCAAGTATAAACACATTATATTAATGTATATTTAAAATCCCCAAACAATTGTATGGGTTTTAATTGTGGGTATCCACCCAATCGGTTGGAAAATTTGAGGGAAATTCTCTGAGGCAGATGCCAAAGACCTGAGCGTCGGTTGAATTAAACCTAAGAGTCAGCTTTAGTTATATCTAAAACTAACTATTCTAAAGAAATGCACTTTACTACGTTTTTAAACTTAATTTAATTGACATTAAATCAAAAATCTACAATACGCGAAATGCAAATAAGCTAATTGTACATACATTTAAAACACTAAAATCTAGTAGACACTTTGTTAAAGTGGGTTATTAGACCTACTCACTAATGCACCACAAACTATATTGAACTGCAAATCTTACCTAAAATACAAAAAATTAATTAATATATATATATAAGCTAATTAGCCATGATTATCATGGATATGTCTGATTCGGTATTCCCCTATGCCATTCATTATCTCCGATTGTTTGGGGGAGGAAAGGTGTTGTATGAAATTAAAAATAAAACATACATCCCAAATACATGGGCTCGTCTTGATTGTGTTAGTAAATATTAAAAAAAACATACATAATTTCCTCCCTAATGACAAATAATATTGTCTATATATTTTGACCTTTTCGATTCTATGAAATGTCAAAAAAATTGAAGGTTCAAAAAACCGTTTCGAACGGTTGTCAGAATGTACGAAAAATGTTAGTTGTTCCATACCATTATTAAAGATAACAAATTATAGATAGTCAATTTAATTTAGTTTTTCTGTAAAAACAAGTATATAGTTAATATTTTATAAGATACGTATGTCGTTAAATGCTATGGATGTTAACAAATCTTATTTCCAGTGTAAACTTTTGTTATAATTTATGTATCTGCATATTTTATTTATATATCATTATTAATACATATTATATATATATATAATTAGAAACTCCAATTTCACCGATATGAGGTTTTACCTCAGTGGTGAAATTGGGCCAAACTATTTTTATCAATGATTTTTCCTATTAATATTTTAATGCTGATAACTATTCTTTCTTGGCAGTCTTGAAGGATATACCTATGTATATAAATTTTTGCATACTATCAGGTACAGACCGGGGAGTGCGGATGAACTCTTGCAAGCGTTTCGATTGTTGGACATGGACGGCAAAGGATCTTTGTCTATAGATCAAGTCCGAGCAGCTCTGAGATCCGGCGAGTCTTTTGACAGTGAAGAAATCGCCGAAGCCATCAAAACGGCCTACGATCCGCATTACGGGTTCATACACTATGACGTGTGGGTCAACAAATTACTGGTAAATAATATTGTTCTTTTGTATGTTATCAACCCCCAGATTGGTTTGCAGTGAACAATAATAAAAGTGATATTATTACATTGCGTATTATATCACATTTTTACACTTGCCAACTATAATTGAACACATGAGCCTTTTTTAATTTGCAGAGAACCAAGGCGGTGGGGTTGTCCCCCCTGCCACCTGTGGACGCCCTTGCATTGCAAATAATATGAAGTTACATAATATTGAAAACTAAATTACCCCAATGGTTTGACTTGAAAGATGAGCTTTAAAACAACAACGGTGGCGGTAATTTCGTTATTTAATCCGCCCCGAACAAAATAGGCGTGCGACAAAATATATTTTACTCGGTTTTGGGAAGAGGCACAGTTTCGGGCTGTACGTGTATTGTACATAATAGTATTATATTATTATTATCGTGAGCAATGGACAAAATGAGCATATTTCACAAAGAGAAAAACTCCATTAAAACACGCAAACGACCGTGACTGCGTTCTTTATTCAATATATTTACATTCGTATACAGTTTAACGCCTTATAATCCTTATCGCGTCGGTATATATGTATGCTTGGTATAAGAAGAAGAAAAAGGGAAAAACACTTTTCCAAGACACACCGCGTGGGTGTCATATCTGTGTATATACACACAATTTCGATATTTTCATTAAAACGTGTGTGGAGACAAATTAATAATGTCGTATGACGGAAAACGGCCGTTGACCTTTCTTGAGTACACACACACACACACACACCCGACCGATTATTATAAATATAGACAGGGATGGGGCTATGATAATGATGATGCACGTGTTTCCTCAATTTAATCCAATATGTTGTTTTCAATTTACAGGGCAAGACCAAAACGGACGTATACGCGTTAATACCAGTCGACGGACGTGCGGCACAAAAGGACGCCATGTTAGATCAGCTTTTGAATCAATTGTAAAATGAATAAAAAAAATAATAATTAAAAAAAATACCAACGCCTCTACACTAGTATATACAATACTGATGCGATAAGTCAGGTCAGTAGAATGACGGGGGGGGGGGGGGTTAATTATTTTTCTCCGTAGTATTTGTGAAGAACATAATTGCTATATCATTGTCTCTGTAGAAATAAATAGTTTTTAAAAGAATAGCAACGATAAAGCCGCTGATGATTTGCTCGATTGCTGCCGCCCCGGAAAGTCTATAAAACGACGACCGGACCGCTTTAACCGTTTCAACGATAATAAAAACAAAGTTTTGTTTTTAACTTTTAGCGCGCAGTTCACTGTTATAATTTAATAGTTATTACTATAAAGCAGTTTGCCCCGAACACTGCTTGTGTTGAGTACGCCATTATTAAGTATTGCACTAATATTCAGCCGAGGACTAGAATAACGTGGACTCGGGTTTGGGATTGTATTAAAATGCGCTATATAATTTGGTCGTCAAATAGGTCCATGACCCACGTCCATGCTTGAATGCTTCTATATAAGTCTAGCACAAGCTAACATACTATTGTGAACGATACCGTCGAATCAGGTAATTTGATCAGGAGGCCGCCAGCTTCCTTATAGTATTCTCATATGCCGATGGATGTTAATTTCTTAGACATTACAGACATCTCGAGTTGACCGAAATAGAAGATAATATGATTTATAATATCGAACTACGTTGTCAGAGCCTGCGGACGGATTTCTTTAACGTTTAAAAAGATTATTAATTTCGGTGTGAAGTTATTAAAAAAAAAAAAGAAACATGATTCAATGGCGGTGCTAGGACTTTTTCCCAGGGAGAGCTGCCAACGGACGGTCGACAAATTTAGGTAGATCCGAATCGTTTCAAACCAATGATAATTTTTTTTCTTTTGGAAGGTGATTCGATTCGAATGTGTTCTCTTGTTACCGCCACTGACTGGATCATGAGCATAAAATAACAAGTTTTCCATTCTAGCTCTCTGCTTACACATCTAGCTTAGGTCCTTGAGTACACAGAGTACAGTGACTTGAAACAACCTGATTCTATAAACTTTTGACTTTCAAAGTTGCAATTATGAATATAGTTTATTAAGGGGTTCTCGTGATATAATTGCGACGCGGCCGCCCTCTGAAGAAAACTTAAAGCAATATCAAATTCGTGTAATGTGTGGGTTGTATATAGCTGTTAACGTCGGTATCAATTACTCGCGTCACACCAGATAAGGTAACCGACAACACTTCGGAGTTCTGATTTGTAAACTTGTCCAATTTGCAAAATATAGTTTACACGCAAATTTCCACTTTCATAATACAATAAACTTGTGAGATAAATGCAAAAAAAAAAAAATCTCTCTCATACATAATTCATACATGTACAAATATGACGTGTAAATAAACAAGAATAATTTGACCGATTCGGTGTTTCGATTTGAGGGAAATTCTCTGAGGCAAATGACAAAGACCTAAGCGTCGGTTGAATTAAACGTGAAAGGTAGCTTTAGTTGTATCTAAAACTAACTGAGAAACAGCAGTTCAAAGTGCAGAGGTCGTTATGTGTACAGTAAACGAGTGGTTTCTAAAACACAATCTCAGGTTAAACTTTAATAAAACCAAGTTCATAGCGTTCTCCCAGGACAGAAGAACGCAACCAAAACTATTATTAGACCTACTCACTAATGCACCACAAACTATATTGAACTGAAAATCTTACCTAAAATACAAACAACTAATTAATATATATAAGCTAATTAGCCATGATTATCATGGATATGTCTGATTCGGTGTTCCCCTGCGCCATTTATTAACTCCGATTGTTTGGGGAAGGAAAGGTATTGTATGAAATTAAAAAGTAAACATACATCCCAAATACATGGACACGTCTTGATTGTGTTAGTAAATATTTAAAAAAAACATACATAATTTCCTCCCTAATGACAAATAATATTGTCTATATATTTTGACCTTTTCGGTTCTGAGAAATGTCGAAAAAAATTAAAGGTTCAAAAAACCGTCTCGAACGGTTGTCAGAATGTAAAAAAAAAGAAATAACGTGGTTAAGCATAACAATATGATTAATTTTGGCTTTGAGTCGCGAAGCTGGAAACTTTGTATTTTGGACGGCTAAAAGGTTGGCCCGTCCTTTTAGAAAAAAAAAACACTTTCACATTTTCAACTTTGACACTCAAAAACGTTGCAAAAAGTATTTTAAAATACAATCGCAATATTTTCGTGGAAATTCATTGGGTGTAATTAATATTTTCCTCGAAAAACAATTGACGCGTGCTTTAATATATTTACCGCATGAAAACAAGGGTTGACGTTACAAGTGCTGCTTTACACAGTTATTATTATGATAACATGATTTGGACCACAAAAGACAGAGGTTGTTTTTTTCTCTCTACCAAGTCTAGTTATTTTTTTCAAACAGTTTTTAAAGCTGTCAAAACACTGTTTATGTTATTTTCATTATGCTCACTACGTTTATAGATACTTGTCTATAATTTAGTAAAAATAGAATTTATTTTTGTTCTATGTTCTTTGTTTTCAATTAAAAACTGGTCCCAAAACTTGGAACGTTTTGGGTTTATTTCAAAAAGAAAACTAGAATATTCTGATTTTAGCATTAATTTATTTGTAACTTAGGTGATTTCATTAAAACAGATTGACAAATTTGTTTCAAATAAAATGCAAATTTTCGTTATACAATTTAATCAAAAAGAGTACAATTTATTTGTACGGGCAAACAAATCCCTCAACATATACAATTTATTTTTACGGTAAAGTTACAAATTGCAAGTATCAGAATTGTTTTGATTTTCTTTTGCGTTGGAACTGTACTTACGCTTAAGTGTTCTACAATTTTAGGAAAATATTAGCTAAACACACAAAACATCACAAAAAGGTGTTTAACGCTTAACAAAATTCGGTAAAAAACGACGGTCGTTTTGTTTGTGTGTTTTATCAAATAAAGCAAAAGGGTTAAGTGAGAACGTTTGTATTTGAATGATGATTTGTAAGCCTACTAGAGTTCAGACTTCAGACCCGTCAACGTTAAATCCGTTAGGATTAATCCGGCAAAGGTCTGAGCCAAAAATCGGTTGTCATAAATATATACTCACATACAAGGCGGTTCTTTTATATTGGGCCACTCGATATCATGTCATAGGGTTCAATAAGAAATTTTCATGACGTTTTTATACAATGTGATCTCAATTTTTCACAACTTTTTGGTTGATTTCAATAACTTATATATGATTTTTTTTGTCAACTATAGTTTTGTGATTTATGTTGTGTACTAATTGTGTTATAATTTGTATGCAATATTACTATTATATAAAAGTTAACCGCGATGGAGAATAAAAGTGCCAAAGAGATGTTATTTTTTAATTAAACAAAGAAAAACAGCATAGACCATCCGGTACAGTCTAGTTGTTGGTCCGAGCAAGACAATTACTACTTTATTTAGCGCTTTCCTGGTCCGTTGTATATGTACCGTGTAAACTTTTATAGTGCGTTCACACTGTCCTCGGCGATATTGGAATTCTCTGTTCGGACAATACAATAATTTAATAAAATATACTACACCTCTGACAATAAACCGATTGAATGAAGAGAGCTAATCGTCCGTAAATGTCAATTAAAAATAACATGGGCTTGGCTATTAAAAAAACCATATTCAGGATATTAATAACTTGTGTAGAAACATTAAGTGTTACTTCACAGAATGTGAGTGTTACTTCACCAATTCGTGCATCTTGGAATGTTATTAAGAAATTAAAAAGATTTTAAGACTTTTATCTCTTATCTATCTTATCCCTTCTTTCTTATCTCTTATCAATCTTATCACTTCTCTCTTATCAGATAAATCATCAAACATTTTCGTTACGTTTTTTCCTGTCAATTTCTCCGGTTGTGTGCCAAAGTAAAGACATGAAATGTAAAAAAAAAAAATTAAATACCATGCCCAAATATCAAACGCGGATAGATTCACTGCACTGCAATCTTTACAGGATGTAATAATCCTGTGTGTATATGTTACTAAAAAAATGTATTATCAATATTTACTTTCATAGAAACTGAAGAAATGATCCAACTCTCCGGGAAAATATTGTCAAATTTTTATCTAGAATTTAGTATTAAATAAACGGCCTATAAGTGGTGGCCAAAGCATACTTGGCTACATAGCCAAGGTATTTTTATACAATAAATTGACTTTGACGCGAAATGAATAATTGGATTTCAAAAAATTAAACCTATCAAAACTCATCTACATTTATACTAATAAATAAGTATGTTATCATATACACTAAAAGTGCAATATTGTTGAATTTGATCACGATTATTTCTTTTCTGTGACCGATTGAGGTAATTTAGTCATGTTGCAGTCAATATGATTACAATAATATGGTAGTTATATGCAATATAGTTAGTAATATGCAACTTAAGTCGATACTTGCTCTAATTTTTGTTATTATTAATTTAGCGAATATTATCGTTTGCAATGCAAATCCAAGTCTTTGTGTCTGAATTGTTTTGTAAAATTTCAACAAGACCTACCCCGCTTGACGACGGCGACGCTTGTGAAAAGCACAATTATAATTATTCAAGTAATAGCCCCTTAGACCGGCTTTGAATTCAAACCCATTTCCATTATTCCTTGCAACGTGTAAAATGTCATCACCATTGCGATTGCCGCCATGTAATGGCTTTTGTCGAATGAAATAATTAGAATGTCTTAATAGGTGTGCAATTACTCACGATAATTGGTTCAAGTTTCAATATATAAACCCATGACCTAATTTTTACCCATTGAAACGCTATTATTTCCAGTATTCTAGCAAACATTTTTTTAGATAGCAACATATGTTTTTAATTACATAAATTTGTAGACAAAAAATATGTTAGCGTTTGAATTTTTTTATTTTATTTATCTGTTCATTGGCTATGATTTTGTATAGATACTACATGTCCTCTTGATAATTATCATATTTTTTCGGTTT